TTTCATTACATATTACTATTTTATGACTCAATAGGAACATCCATCATTGTTACGATGATGATGCAATTTAATATGAGATGCAATTTAAACTGGGAATTATTTTTTACAGTAGGGTTTTATTTTATAAGCATCCTGAAAATCACGTTAGGGTTCACTTTCTAGTTAGTTTTATTTTCAGAAAATACAGTAGATAGGACCTCCATTTAAACTTCACATCTCTTGTAAAAAAGTATCTCAAATTGGAGTATGGATTTAGCATGCAAGACATAAAACTATAAAACTTTTAGAAACAATTATAAAACGGATTTTTGGGGACTTAGGAGTAATCAAATATTTCATTAGACTTGTTAACAAATGTATGACCCATGATAGGAAAAACTGATAAATCAGGACAAGTTCATGGAATTTAATTCTAAATGTACAAAAAGTGACAACCATTTTAATCAATACTAAATGATCACACGATTACATAGTTATAAGAAATTAAACATATGATTTAAATTCTACTTAGTGTTACTTTTATTATACTTTCATAATATCTCTAGGATTTTTTCTGTTTGTTTATTTTATTTCTTGTACTGGGATATGAACTCATGCAGGAGCTGTACTGCTGAGCTACATCCCCAGCCCCCAGATACTCACATAATATGTAAACCCGCTTGATATGTAATTTCCTACTACAAGTTTTTAAGCTTTTCACGCATGAACACCTAAAAAATGATAGCCTTTATTATCCCATGTTTGTTCCTGGGTTACAGTAAAGAAATGGTACAAAAAATAACAAATTTAGATTTAGCAGAAGCACCTACTAAACTGGAGACTCACTAGGGAAAAATGGAAAGTTGGTTGACTAATTCGTCATATGCTTGAAAGAGAAATGAAAAATGAAAGGTCTTTTTCTCTAATTTTTGGTCTGAAAACTTAGGTTATTAACCCTCCAGAAGAGAAGCTTATTATTACACTACAACATATGCAGTTAAGTTTAATCTCCTATTTGTCTGAATATCAAACATCTTAGGCATAACATGGAACAGGTATTTTCCATCTAGTATTGATATGTTAAACTTTAAATCTCTATAGAATATGGAGAAAATTTTAAAAAATTTAAAAATATGAATGAGCAATTACATATTTTTACACAGAAATTTAGAAATCTAACCATATACAGCATTGTAGCAGACAGTTCTGTGACTTTTTTTTCTTGTCTCTTTTTCATTTATTACCCTTTTATTGTAAAACAAACATTTACTTGAGAGACAGTATGGCAATAATTGGTATGTCATGATAAGCAGTACGTATTTAGAAGACCAGAATGACAGGGCTGCAAGGACAGCCAACATTTTGGCCCTAGCCTTTCAAGGTCAGTGAGGACTCAGGACATAGGAGAACCTATACTATAACATCATGTAACTCAATTGTGTCCTAAATTTTCTAATCAAGGAGATTATGGGCCACAGAGCAATGTGATTGATGACCTAGAGTCTGGCTAAGGAGAGTCACATGGAGAGAAAACATTCTCTCAGGCTTTCACAGAGAGCAAATTGGTCAAACAATGGCCATGACTCATCCACATGGCTGACACTAACAAAGGATGTGCAAACTGCAGTACAGAGTTACAGGATAAATCCTGAGGGGACTTGACTGACATTATCAGATACAAAAGATACATTTCTTGTTATATAGGTCTTGCTTTATCTTGGTCTTAACAATCTGGCAGAAAAACATAAAAATGAGGTATAAAAAATAAAGCCATATTAATATGCTGAGCTGTAAAAGGCTCAAGTCAACAACTTCTGACATTGCCATTCCTACAGATAACCCATTACTATTATGGACCACTGGACTATATTGGATTATTTTGCTGAATTCATGCACCTACAATATTTAAATGGCAATGGAATACCCATCTCTGACAGGACTAAACAAAAAAAGGGGATACAAAGGAAGGACCATTTTGTATCTGTATGTACAAAATAGTTAGGATGGATATACAACTTCTTTCTCTTAATTCAATGAGAAGAAAGATTTGTACTAACAGTAGTTGGACAGGATATCATGTCTGCCTCTTATACGATGAATAGCCACTAATAAGATAACAATATGCAATGTATTAATTATTGAAACTGTCCTATTAATCGGTTTTGAAAGTGTCTCATTGCTGTTTCTCAATAAAATTGATAAAAGAAAAAGAAAAATGAAAGGTCAACCCGGAGTTATATGTGACTAGATGGGTAACAGACAGGTAAATAGATAGTCAAACATCAGAATATAGGCCGGTAAGCATAGCTGTCAAGAAGTTAGAGGAATTCCTTAGTTCACAGGTATCAGCATATGTAGCTAGTCAGGGTGAGAATTCTACCAATTAACTGCTAGTTTCAAAAACCTGCTGAAGATTCTCAGGATCATTGTTTGGACTACTGGACTATAGTGGATTGTTTTTCTGAATTCACACACCTACAATAATTAAATGGCAATGGAATACCCATCTCTGACAAAACTAAGCGAAAAAGGGGATACAAAGGAAGGACCATTTTGTATCTGTGTATACAAAATAGTTAGGATAGATATACAGCTACTTTCTGTTAATTCAATGAGAAGAAAGATTTGTACTAATAATATTTGAATAGGATATCATGTCTGCCTCTTATACTATGAATAACCATTATGAAGACAACAATATGCAATGTATTAATTATTGAAACTGTCCTATTAATCAGTTTTGAAAGTGTCTCATTGCTATTTGCTTCTCAATAAAATTAATTGTTAAAAAAGATAGTAAATAAAAAAAGAAGTTAGGGGAGACTGGGCTGTCTTGGACCTCGATGAGGGAAACAGCTGATTTGACTCGCTTTACTGCTGACTGGAATAGACATTTGCTTTCTTACACAACAAAAGAAAAATTGATATATGGAAAAAAACATGAAACAGCTCATTAAAGTAAAACTTAATATGCACCAAGGTATTACAATCTCATGCTGTGTTAAATATTAAAGGACTAATATAGCAACACAGGCCAAATGCTGACTGTTATATAGTGCTTGGATGAAACACGCCTTTATTACTGTTAACTGTCACATTGTCCCAGGGCTATCAGTAACCCTAACTGATATGAAACTTGGAAAAATGGCAGAAACTGAAGGACATAGCCATTGCTTTCAGATTTGTATAATCTCGGTTGTCACAGGCCTGGCTATCTTGTTTCTTTCCAAGTAGGAGAAGAAAATGAATAATCAGAGGAAGGAGGCTGATATACTTTAGGAAGATATTATAGGGGCACGTACCCCTCTGACTTGAAAAGGAAAGTACATTTCCATATCTAAGTGGGAGAAAAGACACAGATGAGGTAGATTTCTGGTACCACATTTAGAATCACAGGACAGGACCAGGGAAATGGCTCAGTAGAATAAGCACTTCCCTGGCAAGCGCAGAGGTCTGAGTTCAATCCTCAGTTCTGCGGAAAAAAAAAAAAAAAAAAAAAAATAGAATCACAGGACAAGTTAGTAACTAAGCTCTCTTGAGATAGAGCTAACCTGAAAGGTTTTTTTTGTTTTTTTTTTTTGTTTTTTTTTTCTTTTGATCCAACTGTGGAGGAGTTTCCAACTAAAAGACACAGGAAAAAGTAAGAAATTGCTTAGAAGGTCTTCCTGAAGAAAGCATTGTACTCACTCCATTGCACTCTCTTGACAATTTAAAGGCACCAAAACGAAGATCACAATGGAAAGTGAAGCTAGAGCCGGGGGAAAAGTATTTGGAACACATGCTGCCATGGTCAGAATAAGGGGAAAATTCCTACAAATCCTAAGCAAGAGGCCAAACTAAATTTTAAAATGGAACAAGCCTCCTGGTTTCATTTGGAAGAGGAAAAAGAGGCGTGATTGGCTTGGACCTTAGGAAAGACTGGCTAGAGTAGGGGCCAAGACCCGAGCATCAGCTGCGCGGAACTGGAGCAAAATCACCACGGGGAGCGCTGGGACAGGTCAGTTCTGTGCGGCAAAAGCAGCAGCCTGAGAGCCTGCTGGCTGCTGAGATGTGGCTCCGTGGTAGAGTTCTTGCCTTGCACAGCAGGGAGGAAGCTGCTGTTCACAATTCCCATTCGGGGCCTTGCATGTGGCCACCGCAGTGGGAACACTGTGATAAGATCTGAGTGACGATGACACTCTGGGAAAATAAATGACCTTGGAGTCACAGTGTGGCCTGATTCCTGCCTCAGCTCAACTAACTGCTACAGATGCTATCAGGAATCCCACCTGCCCTTCTCCAACAGTGAGGGTTAGAAGGAACACATTCCCCAAGTCAGAATTTAGCACTGTGCATATGGGGAGCTGGATTGGAGATGTGATGTATGGCACCACCTAATCTTTTGATGTATATCCCAATCACTGAAGGATTGCGGGATGCAGTATAAAATTTAATGGCATGAAATGTACTTTCTTAAAACACCCACATTCATTTTCCCAAGACAAAGCTTTATTGGAGGCATCAAGCAAGATACTGGAAGAGCTGAGTCATACACGATATTGTCCTTAATTCCATAATTGTGCTACAGCAGACGTGCTGCATGCTGAAAGGGTGTGTAGTGAGCAAAAAGAGGAAAAGCAAATGTGCCATGACACGGAAGCTCCGCGCCTGAGAGTCGCCGGTAGGTTGACTTTCTCCTTCTTTAAAAGACGCCCAAAGTTGACTTGGTGGAAATTAAACAATTGTGCTCTGCTTTTGAGGAGAGAGTTTCTCCTTGGAGTCATTTATGAAACAACGCAGCTGCCTTTTTCTTTAAAGGGATTCTTGTCTTCTGGAATTCCTTTCACCAGAGGATCCTCCCCGGAACGTTCTTCAATATAGTTCTTTATTTCTTCAGAACATTTAGACACCTGAAGTACGGAAGAAAAAGGAAAGGGTGCAGTAGGTCAGGCATGCTCAAACTTTCTCAGAATCTTTTTGTGATACTATTATAGCTGAACTAATAATAATAATCTTTATTTTTTAATGTATTTGATGCAGGGCCTACAGGGTCTCACTACACAGATTGGACTTGTAGTGATATTCCTATTTTCAGCCTCCCAAACACTAGGATTACAGGCACGCACCACCAAGCCTAGTCTCAATCGCTGCCTCAGTGTGCCCCGGAGGGGAACCCCACCCCACCCCCATTCCCACTCCACACCACTCCCCCCAGCCCCTGAATCTGCCTAAACAGGCGCTTTAATCCACTGAGCTATCTGGCTGGCCCTAATAATCTTTAAATGTTTAAATATATACCCTCCATGTTGCATGCTAATCACTTTATTCTACTCTTTTTCTATATAAAATGCAATCTATATGAAGTATACTTCTTTCTACTGGTGAAAGTTAGAAAAGTCTGAAAGTAACTGTATCCAGTAACTCATTCCCAGCAATATCCATTCATTATGACTCATAATTTTTCCTCCTCTGTTAAATTACAACATGTTTAACATATTTTTAGGTCAGGGGCAGATAATTCCCAAGTGTTTGGAGGAAGATGTTATGTAACAGCTCTTACTTAGGAGTGTGGCCCAAGTTCTGTAATTTCACATAGTAGAAGCCTTAGAAACAGCCAGATTGTGGGAAGGCTGGAGTCACCCCAGCACCTTCCTTTGTGGCTTGGCTCAGTGTTCCCTCTCGATGGGCCATGGCCATGATCAGAGGCTCACTAGCTTGCTCTGACCTTCTTGTGCTTACACCAGCAGCCTAAACTTTGTCTACAATGCAATGAAAGATTGAATATTTTTTTTGAAACAAACAACCTGTCCTTAGGAGATAAGTTTCAACTTGCACAGCTTTAGCTTTTGTTTTGTTTTGGGGGTTTATTTTGGTACTGGGAATCAGGCGCTGTGCACGGAGCTAAATCCCTGGCTTCAGCTGGCAAGGAAAAAGAAAAGAAGAAGAAGAAGAGAGAGAAGAAGGAGAAGGAGAAGGAGAAGGAGAAGGAGAAGGAGAAGGAGAAGGAG